ATTTTTTATATAATTTTATGTATTATTTAAATAATTTATTCTTTTTATTCATTTGTATTATCTACTTGTTTTTTAACATGTAAAATTTATATTAAAAAATAGTATAAAAAATTATTCTAATATCACCATCCCTTAAAAATTACAACTAACATGACTAGTTAAATTATGGGAGAAGAATGATATGTCGAGAAATGTTTTGACACCTAGCATTGATAGCATAGATGATTAAATGAATAACATAGAAAAAAATAAAAATTTCCTTTTTCTTTTTTTTTTTTTTTTTTTTTTCCTTTTTACCTTTCTCTTTCTCTTTCCTCTTCCTTTCTTTCACCTTCTACAAACCCTGAAGAGTTTGTTTGGATAAAAATTAGTAAAGGAAAGGGAAGGAAATGAGCGAAAGGAAGGGAGGGAGAAGTGAAAAAAAAGAAATGATTTATATTAATTTTGTTTGGATAAATAAAAATAGAGGAGAGGGAAGGATAATATTTTTATTTAATTAAATAATTTTTCAAAATTAAAATAAAATAGAATAAAATTTTTAAAATTCACTAATTAAAAAATAATTGGTATAAAATATTTTTATATATTTATTTTTTTTAAAAATTAACAATTAAATATAAAAAACTAAAAAACTAAGTTCTCCGAATCTCTTCAATTTGGAAGGATTGAAAACAAAGGAGCACAGGGTATCATATCTCCCTCCATCTCTCTTCTCTTCTATTAAAATCAATAATCCAAACTCGACAAAGAGATATCTCTCCCTTCATCTCCTTCCCTTCCCCTCCAACTTCTCAAATCCAAACTGAGGGTAATGCCTTCGGAAACCACCTTCAATCATCTTCCCCTTCACCAATGACTATTTCTCCCTTCTTTTTTGGTCAACTTCGTCCACCAAATCAGCTCATCTTCTTGATTTTCCTCACCCCTCTTTCAAATCTGACGCCTAACAAATCCACATCACATCTCAAAATCTCCTAATCTACAAGAATATGGCTCTAGAGTGTGGTGCAAGCTTAATTACTTTTTTATAAATTAAAAATTAATGTACAAAATCTTGAATACTAGATTCCAGAAACTATACACAATTAGAAAACCAAACCTGAAGCAATTAATTAGAAAACATGGAAAACTAACTCAAGTCCGCTGGGTTTTCTTAAGATGAAGAACCCTAGAGGAATTCCTTCTTTTTCTTTTTTCGTTTTTGATTTTCTCACTCCATTTCTAATCCTTTTCTCCGCTACCTCATCTGTGGCCTCCTTTCTCCATTCCCGCCCCTCACCAACGGCACAACCACCACCGACTCCCCATTTCCCACAAAACCCTGGACGCCAAAACTTCATTCCACCCTTCATCACCCCACCTAGATTCTTTCTGAGTTCTAACTTCTATCAAAACTTTGTTGTAATTTGTGTTAGAGTTGGGTCATCACTGCATTTGGGTTGAGTCGCTGTCATATTGGATTTGCAGAGATAGGTAGAAAGGAGTGAGGGAGGAAAGAACAAAGGCGCGAGGAAAAGAATATAAGTCAAGTGAAAACTTGTTGATTAATCATTTTAGTTTTTGATTTGGAATTGTTTGTCATTAGAGTTCAAAATTTAGGTCTAGAAAAACATGAGTGAGGGAGAGAGAGGATAAGAGAAGAGAAGAAGATGAGGATAAATAGATAATTTTATTATAATTGGTTAATAAATAAATTTGATTAATTTATAATGGTAATAATATACAATTAAATAAACTTTTTAACAAGGCTTTCGAGTTTAATAATTCGTCTCCAACCTTTAAGTGCTTAGATTTAATTTATCAAGAATTTAACTTTCACCAACGTCTTGAAAAATATCTTCATCCCCTAAATTTTCCATTGTTCAAAAAATAAATAAATAAATAAATAAACTTTTAAAGCAACATGTACTAAAATTAGGTGTACATTATCAATTTTTAATTTAAATAAATGACTATTTTAATGCCTCCTCAGTTCTTAACTAATTTCCACATAATTGGTGTAGTTAATGGAATGAGATGCCACATCAATTTTTAACGGGAGGACAAAAGGTAGGAAAAATTTCGAACTTTAAGAATTAAACCAAGAATTTTTAAGTTTACAAGCTATGTCTAAGAGTATATATATAATAATTGAAAGATGAAATCGGACTTTAACCTTTTTTAAATTTTAGGGACATTCCTTGACCTTTAACAAATAGTCTAATCAGATTCTCATTCTTAACGTTCTAACAATCAAGTCGATGACTTACTAAGTTCTTTAAATTCCCACTTCTAAAATAGTAGCATAAAATATCAACGCATTTTGCTATCTTGTTTCTTTAGGGCATAACTTAAGAGTGCATTTATTATACTTTTAAGTATTAATTTACATAGAAAATTATGAAAACTGACATTATTTTTTCGTACTATTTCTATTTAAATGAATTTAATTGGATAATTGTTAAAATTAATATTAGTTTTTTTTTATCAAGTAGGTTAACAATGGGGAGGAAGAAGAAGAAAGAAAAGCTTGTTGAGTCTGCATCTATTAGTTGGTAATGGTGATATATTGTCTAAGCCTCACTATCAGTATAGAGGTGCTTATTTGTTTTGAGAAAAGTAGATTGAAAGGTATCCACTAGCTCTGGAGCATCCGATCCTACGTGTGGTTGTAGATATGCTAGCTCCCATAGTGGTTGACGTGCAAATTTTCACCCATTTCTCTTCAGTTATATTTGGTGTGTTGTGTGATGATCTACTCTTCTTTATATATATCTTCGCTTGGGCTTAATTGTACGTGAGAATGGATGTAAGTCCTTAATCTATGTGATGGGCATTCCTTAACCTTGTTTATGTCATATGGCTTTATGATAATGATAATATTTTAAATTAGCTCAAAAAAAAAAAAAAAAAAAAACATTGTAGTCCAACTTATTAAGCAGAAAATATTTGATGTTGCTTTGCATGTCATTCACAATTTTATTTTTTTTTGGTTGATTTTTGGTTGAACAATGAGAGACTACTTTCTTCTATCTCTTCAGTCATCTCATTTGTATACCTACAATTTAAACCAAAAATTTCTTGATCCATTTAAAAGAGAGATTACCATTAGATAGCTTAGGTCATGACAATATCTTTTGTTATTAAACAACAGTTTTCATGTCTCATAATCCAATTTTTACTCAACCATTTGAAGTGGTTTTACAAAATTTCCCACAAATTTTTAATTTTAAAATTAAAAACTACATAGATGCAGCCAATAAGCAACATCCATGATACAAATAAATAAATTTGTATCATGCAAGAATTTATCACCCACCGTTTGTTTGATGCCTACATCTCTAAATGTCCGTTGCTAACGGATTTGTCAAAGTACCATATTCTCATGATGTGGTAGGCTTACAACAAATCTCCCACATTGCCCCTCAAAATTGCCAAGGGATGACGCTTTGAAACACTACTTGAGAGGCAGACTTCTTTCTTTTGAATGCGCAGGAATAACAAAGGTTTCTCTCTTCCTCACCCTTCAGATTCAATGGAGAAAAGCTTATCAAACTTTAATGTTGAATTAGAGGATGACAAGTCACAACGTATTATTTTAGTGTGTTTTGATGCATTCTCAAAACAAAATGATTGGGAGACAACTTTTTTTTATAAATTTTTGTATATAACTGTACTGATGAGAGCCCTAAAGAGAACAATGAGACCCATAGCACGACAAAGGAATTTGAAGCTCCAAGAAAGCCGAATCAGGTTTATGATAAGACATTAACCAGTTGTTTATGTCACAACAAGAACCAGAGGTAAAGACCTTGACCCGTTGTCTATGATGCAATGAGAACTAGAAATATAAAGTTGGTTGACGCCACACTCTTGAATAGTTAACAATAAGAATAATAAGTCAAATTAGAATACCACAAGAATAATCTTAATAAGTTTTATAAAATTCTTAAACGAACCAAAGAGAAAAGTCTCTCAAAAACTCAAATTCAATAACTGCCTCACAATTAAGGTTACAAGCTTTTTAAACAGAGAAAACTAATTCTAATCAAAATAGGAAATTAACACCCTAAATCCTAAACCTAATGACCATGAATTGGGCTTCAAATAAATTAATGTTCAATCCAAAAATAATACAGAAAATGGGAAAATCACTCAAAATAACATGAAATATCAATTTGTTGCAAATTACGGTAGAATTATGCAATTTTGACACAAACTATGTAATTTAGTGCAAATGACCTCAACTAAGCTTCTCTTAAACCTGAATGATGTTTAATATGCCTATAATCATCTAAGTTTCAATTTACTTGTTGAATGTTGTTTTCAACCCATATCTGCTCAATAAGACCATTTAAAGTTTTTGCTTCTTCTTAGCTCTAACTCTCATGACTAGACCTCCTAGGATGTGTAATGAATCACTTGATGTGGTACATGTGCTATTGTTTTGATTTCCAATAGTACATATCATCTAATAATCGGCTCTTGTCAGGACCTGTGATATTATATATATTACTTATTTAATAACATGTAAAAATCTTTAAAAA